CTCTCTCTTTAAAAAAAAAAAAAATTTGCCAAGTTAGTTTTACTAGGAATATAGTCACTTAAGGTCACTTAAGTTACAATATGATAGTTCTATGTTTCTGGTTTTTTTGGGGGGGGGCGGGGGTGATGGTGGGGGACCAAGTATCCATTTTTTTTTTCCTTTATTGCTTTTAGATTTTTGTCATGGTCAGAAATGCTTTTCTTATCCCAAGATTATAAATATTCTCTTGGGCCAGGCATACTAGAGTGTGTCTGTAATTCCAGATACTTGGGAGGTTGAGCCAGGAGGATCACTTGAACCCAGATGTTCAAGACTAGTCTAGTTAACATAATGAGACTCCATCTCCAAAATAGGAAGAAAGGGTGGGGGTGTAACTCATTGGTAGAGTGCATGCTAAGTGTGTGTGAGGCCCTACCCTGCGTTCAGTAACTGGCACAAAAAAAAAGAAAAAAAGAAATATTGTCTTGTAGTTTCCTCCTTAATCTGTAAATCTTTAAGTTAGTTAATTTTGGCTAAAGAAAATCTAGCAGGTATTTTTTTTTTGGCATTAGGGATCAAACCCAGGGCCTTGTGCATGCAAGGCAAGCACTCTACCAACTGAGCTATATCCCCAGCCCAATCTAGCATTTTTTTTGTTGTTTTTCTCAGTTATAGTCATCCCAATACAGTTTATTTAGATAATGATAATCTTATCTTTTTTCCCATCATTTTAATGTGCTGGGTTTTTTTGGGGGAGGGGGTGTTCCAGGGATTGAACCCAGGGGGGTCCTTAACCACTGAACCATATCCTATCCCTTTTTAGTGTGTGTGTATGTGTTTGTGTGTGTGTGTGTATTTTTATATATATATATATATATATATATATATATATATTTATCGATGGACACAGTATCTTTATTTTTTATTTTTATGTGGTGCTGAGAATCGAACCCAGTGCCCCACACATGCTAAGCGAGCGCGCTACCACTTGAGCCACATTCCCAGCCTCCCTTTTTAATATTTTATTCAGAGACAGGGTCTCACTGAGTTGCTTAGGGCCTTGTTCAGTTGCTGA